CTCCCCCCTTTTTTTTTTTATTTTTGTTTTTTTTTTTTTTTTCATTTTTTTTTTTGGGGTCGCGGGTTAACCGCGGCCCGTGGGGGTGAAACTCGCGAAGCCCGCGGGTTGCACTTCTTTGGCCTATGAACCGCCCGCACGGGTCATGGGTCGACCCGCGGTCCCGATTTTCACGAGCCAATTTTCACGGGTCTGACCGGTTCATCCGTCTTGACACCTCTAAGTACTCAAGCATACTAATCTGTTTGTTATCCTTCCTCCTAATGAAGAAACATTGTAAGATCTACCTCACTGTGGCGAGGAGGATTTAGACTCATGTACGGCATTATTCCCTTTTTGCTAAAAAAAATGTAATTTATGGTACAATCGCAATTTACGACATCCAACTATGTATTGACCTAATGTAGGGTATTGCCACCATTTTGTACAAATGTTATAACTAATGGCATAAATACATTCCACCCTATTTCACCAAAATCAAGCCCGAGAATTCACCCAAACTCAATCCATTGGGCTCATCCTCATTTCAAGTATGCTCCTACATAGTAGACGATTTCAAAATAACATTATTTTACACAATTGTTTTAAAGAATAACAAGCTACTACGGACCTATATGAAGCAAATTTTGAGAATAAATTTTGTGATTTTTTTTTTTAAGAATATGTAGTTAAAAGTATAGAAAAATTATGGGTAAAATTAATTCATTGAAAAATTATGTAATTGAAATTGAATTTTAAAAAATATGTATTAAAGAATCTATACTAAACAAGTGCTATATAAATTTAGTTCCAGTTTTTCTCTCTTTTAAACAAAACTCTTTAATTGTCATAGTCATTTTCAACCACACAATAAAATCCCCGTTTGAGCTCCATTTTAATTTTAATTTCTTTTCAACAACATATTTTTCCAAAATTTTTCTTTCCTTTTCAATCATACATTTTTTTCTCTTTCTTCTTTTCTCAAAAATACATTTTAATAGAGCCCAAACAATGGTAAAATATTTTGCACGTAAATCTAAAAAAATTTCCTACTTTTTAATCACGTATTTTTTAAAAAATCATTATTGAAAACATAATTTTTTGAAAATAATTACTATCAAACAGGGACTTAGTTGAGTATCCGAAATTCAAAA